TCCAGAGAATGCTGTGGGCAGAAGAAAGCGGAGCTGCAAGCGGGTCGAAGAAGAAAACGCTTTCTTCAGACGATGAGGAAGATAACGAGGATAGCGAGGCAGAGAATAAGGGAAGCACGGCGAGGAACAAAAAGAAAAAGGTGAAGATGAGCAATATCGGAAGCAGCGGTACTAGTGGGAGTGCAAGTGGAAATAATGTGAGGGAGATATTGGAGGGGTTCATGAAGCAACAAATGCAAATGGAAATGCAATGGAGGGAAGAGTTTCAAGCAAGGGAGAACGAGAGGCGGTTAAAGGAGATGGAGTGGAGGCAGAGGATGGAAGCGTTGGAGAACGAGAGGATAATGATGGAGACGAGATGGAGGGAGAGGGAGGAGCAAAGGAGATTGAGGGAGGAGGCTAGGGCCGAGAAGAGGGATGCTCTTATAACTGCTTTGCTAAACAAGCTTAGAAGAGAGGATATGTAGCAAGCATTATGAAGACCTGGTTTAGAGGTTTGTTCATTAATTCTCAATTAGCTAGAAACTGGAACTAATCATTTTGGACATGTCCATTATGATGATACGGATCCATCTTCTTCTGTTTTGCCTACTGAGGCTTTTCATTAATTTATTGCTAGCTAGTTAGTGAAAGAAAGGTTCATTCGTTCTCTCGATCGTTTCCATAATTATAAGTTTTACCCTAGTGATTTTGATCTTTAATTATCATGAACATCTATCAACATATAAAATTCTAGGATTTTATTTGATTACCATGGAAGTCTTAATATAAATTAAATATAAACAAATAAAATTCAAGGATTTTATTTGATTGCCATGGAAGTCTTAATATATCTACATGCATGAAGATTGAAGAGAAATGTGGTTGCCAACATTGGCTTCAAGAGTAAGCACGCGAAATTGATATTTCATTCATGTAGGTTATTGAGATTTGTATATTCTATTACTACTATATGCAGTAAAGGAAGATGCATGCATGAAATATATACGGTCCTTTTATATTTAAGGTGGTGAGGTGCATGTACATGTGTAAGTGGCTGAAGAAAAACTTGGAAAATCGAAAAATCTAAATCATCTGCATTAACTATAGTATTCTGTATCTGAAATTTTATTGACAGATACAGTTTTGTTTCCTCCATCCCTGAATACATATGCAGGTGGGGGTGCTGGATGAGTTATGAATATTTTTATATCTATATATATAGATACATGATCTGATGCAACTATATATTAAGGTTCAAGTAGTAACATGTACATGAGAATGTTCAAGCTACTTTAGACAATTTGACATATGATGTTGTTAGACATAGTGTATCAATCTAAGCTATCTTTGATGCAGCTCGATCGACAATCTATAACATATGCTATAGCCGTTTTTATTTGTCTTTTCTCGAAAACTATACGTTGTTGAATTTTTGTTATCTTCTCAATCGGTCCTCTATACATAATCCTACTTCCGACCTGGAATGTAATTTGCTTCAATGGAATTTCTCTAGGTCGATTCGAAATTTCTCGTGTGATATTAGTGGACCAATTTGTCTGGTCCATAACGTAATAGGACTTTCAATTTGAAGGTGTTCATACTCTTAGAAAGCATACACACGACTGTGAAGTAGAGTTAGTATAGCTGGACCACGAGTCCAAGACACATTTCCAAGACCGTGTTTTGAGATTTTCAAGCTTTTAGTTCTCTTTTGACATTCTAGCATTTTACACGGTTACACTTACACCCATCGATATCAAGGTAACAAATATATGTGTACATATCCCTACAAAATATGCGGTTAAATACGGCATACATCAGATGGGCTGTCGATTCGAGTTTAGAGTATTTATAATCCTTAGTTTGACATCTTACTTCCATGAAAATGCCCTTTTTTGTCTTATAATTCAAATTCAACGGAAGCCAGCTATTCTAATCATTTTGTGATAACGAGACAACCAGCGAGTTGTAAAATAATCGATTCAAAGCGTTTTTGAAGTTAAACTGGGAGTGACAAAATCATATTCAACCGAACAAAGGTATCGAGAGATCCTGAAGAAAAACGTTGTTTACGAAGAAGAGATTGATCTAATCCAAATATTCCTTCAGAGTTTCCATTGCAAATTAAACAACAAATAATATACAAAAATGAAAAAAACCATGTGCGATGTGTCATACCCTAGCTTCTTCCATCTGCGATAGCAGCAAAAGGGACATATCAAATCATGCTAGTAATAATCTTGGTCTCCAAGTTTCACATACATACAGAATCTGTTCTATTGAGGTCCAGCTATCTTTCAGACGTACGTTACCGTGTTTTTCCCTCTCTGTGTCGCTGCTGCTTCTCTATCTCTAGCTGTCACGTATAATTACAGGTCATGACTTTGTGTATTTTTCACCGACGCATATATGTAAATATAGGATTTTGTGCCAAACAATTCGGTGGTCCAAATATGCATGCATGTTTGCCGCCGTGGAGAACTTAGCTTTGGTTGCAGATATGTGCAAATATCGATCGGATAGATACCCAAAGTTGGAATTTGATGGTTAGTACCATTTCTTGTCAATTTGTTGTGCAATGCATTCTGCTGGACCACTGATATCAGCACAAGCAAACTGGAGCCTACTATTTCTTTTTATTTTTTATTATTTTTTCTTGGAAAGTCTTCACTTGTTCACAAGTTTTAACAGCATCTTCAACGGGAGAAGTTGTGTAAAGGAGGTTTTTGGCTCCAAGCTAAATGGGGTTAATTTCAATATGTAAAAAGATGTTTAAATCTGAATCTACATATTGTTTGGCAACTACCTGTATTTACACAGTTGGCGCATGAACAATAACAAAGAGTGTCAAAAGAGATTGATATAACTTCTCACTTTGGTCATTGAGATTGACAATCAACAGAAGTGGTTCCTGATTTTTCACTATCAATTCTTTTGGTCCTTCAATGGAAAATCCCCGTTAAATAGAAAGCAAGTGGAGAGGTTGATTGGACAAAAATATCCTCAATTTAACGGAGATTTTTCACGGAAACACCAAAATGATTGACGGTGAACAAACTTAGGGATCACTTCTATCGATTTTCAATCTCAATGACCAATTAAATTGAGGAGTTAATTATGTTAATCTCAAAAACCATTTTAGTTAAAAAGCCTTGGTTCTCATTAGACTGGTGTATGTGTTTTAACTGTAGGAAGTTGAAGTTTCACTATAAAATTAATTGGAAATACAAGAAGTAACCCAACTATTATATATAAGCACATGCAAAGTCTCGTTTATCTCCGATGTCGAATTTGTACTCTCAACACTAATTTCAAACTTTTAACAATGTGAACTTATCTAATGTGCTACATCATTTTGTTGAATGAACTTCTGAACTCAAATGTCATAAAATAGTTGTGGTGCTTTCCTACGAAACTATTGAAAATTAATTTTTCTTTTATATATTATGGACGTCAACTTGGCAACCCACATGGTTACTATTATAGGTGTAGTCGGCAGGTAAGCTTTTGTTTTGTATATTTCAATGCCATGGAATGTCTGCAATTATGCGTGCCACTTCTTAAGTTTGACCAGCTTCTATATTGAGGTGATGTTAACAAGATTACATAATCCAACTCTCTAATAAAAATAATCTCTCCCGTTTAACAAGCTCTGCCTGGCCTTGATTAATTAGTATAATCTCTCTTTTGACTGTAATCACATGGTTACAGTCCTCTTCTTTAATAAATAAAAAAAATAATCGATATCGTATCATCTATTTGACTTTCTACAAATCTAGACTAATATGATATATGGAAAATGGGAACGGACTTTTCTTGACGTGCCACTACTTTTGTCAAACATTGGAAAAATTCGTAAGCTTCTTGGAAATTATTTGCTAATTATTAATTAAAATGGACCACGGGAATTCGGAATTCTCACAATTTAATAAGATACTAGAATCTCTCCAAACGTATACATAGATTTTTTTTTTTAAAAGATTTTTTTCAAGTGAAACAATAGAGTTTTTAATTGATAATTAACGAATGCTTTTATGATAATATTACGCTCCACACGGATGCTCATGATAAGCCGGGGCTCATCTCTTAAGATACAACAATCTTTCGTCCTTGTGAGAGTAGCATTCTAAACCACAATAACAAGCAAACCCAACTGTCTCAACGACTTTAAGAACATACTTTTTTTTCTCTTTAAAAGGAGGAGGTGGCAAGCCACGGTTCTCCATCCCTTCTGGAGGTAGGAAGACTCACAGAGGCATTTCAGTCTCCCCTGGTCAAAAATCTAGCTTCTACGCCAGCAGTGAGTTTTGAACCCGAGACCTTTAGTTTTTAGTTTGAAGAAAGTCTCGCAATTCGTCATTCACCAGCTTGTGGTTCTAAGAGTGCTTAAAATGATGCATGTTTAATATGAAAGTGTAGTTGTGAGTGAATTAAATATCTTTGCCAGGTGATCAAACCAGAAGCCTATCGATAGGAATTTCATATCTGTCGATGAAAGGATATAAACCAATAATTCAAAGGATATGTTCCAAAAGTATCTTCTGTATCTGATGAGAAGTACCCTTTCGTCATGCAATTCTTCCATCAGTGCCCAGTTGATCCATCCCTTCCTTTGATTCCAGGAAATGCAAAACCCAAAGCCACAATGACTATAGCGGCACAATTAATGTCTATACCAAACGAATAACAATAATAAACAATTAACGTTACACACTTTTAAGAGTGCCTAGCACTAGTTATATATTAAAAAATGTCTCTCGTATGCACTTGAGCGCAAGCAGAGAGACTAGTTTCTTATTAAAGAAGGGGATTGTTTCTTTACTATTACCGAAGCTACTGAAAATTTTGTGAATTCATTTAGAATTTTCATTTATCTCCATATGTAGGTGGCACTCAGATGGTTATTACTTATTAGTTTTTTTTTTATTCAGGTGGTATTTGCGCATATAACTAACTAGGAGATCGATAGCAAATGTGCCATTTTTTTAAATAAAAAAATAAGCAGTATGTGACCAATCATAATAACAATTTAGAGTTTATTCATGTAACAGATCGGATCAAATTTGAATACATTCATTTAGTCCGTACATCATTTTTATTCTTATTTTTATTTATGTGGTAACTTTTTATTTGAGAAATGGTGTTAAATTCTTTACTAACAAGTACATGCGCAATATCCATTGTTACATTGGTCAGCGTTGCATCCAGGTGGGCATGTTGCCATGTACTCGCACTGCCAGTCCCAATAACAGAAGTGGTGGGGGTCATCATGTCGACGTCGACTTTCAACTCCAACTCCAGGACGAGAACCTGTTAAAAATTAAGAAAAAATAATTAATATCATCAAATAATTAAGCAGGATAGTCTAGTTAACTACTCTTAACTAGTTACTATTAAGAATTTATGAAAACATTACTTTTTCATACCAGTGATTGCTTCTGCCATGGACTTCTTGTTTGCACAGCCACAAACACATCGACCAGTTTTGCACATGTTGGCTGTGCACTCACCACACAAGCTTAGACAATCAACAGGGCGTTCACATTGCACTGATGCGTCCTTTATTGTGTCTCTTGCTTCAATTACTTTTGAAAAACCTACAGTAATCGATTAACATTTTCATCTTTAGATTATTCATTCAGTTTCTAACGGTTATGAGTTCTTGTGGACGACAGTTTTTGATTAATAATAATAATAAATTAAAACTAAACTTTAGAAATAAATAAGGTAAGTAGTGATTTGGCCTGGTCAATATCATATTCTTCATCAATCTACTGCATTTTGAGTTCGAACTCTCTCTTATCTTCATAGTTTAGATGAGTAAATTTTACAATTGTGTTGCCGAAACATAGAAATGCAACGTGAAAAGAAAGTGGCATACCAAAGGCAAAAACTAGAAGCGCCACCAAGAAAATCACTTTGGCTTTCTCCATTTGTTTCCCTAAGACTCAAAATATAATGCTTAATTAGATAGAATGTCGAGCATAGGATGAAAACATGCATGTTGCGTGCTTCAGTGCCCCAAACAAATTACACTCCAGATCACTCCACATTTTTTTTGCCTGTGAGTTTTAAAACAAATTACATTTCAATTACTTAGGCCTTTCTTTTTAGCTAATGACTTCGCCACGACAGTCTATCATTTTGAGGATTGGAAAGACTTACAGAGGCATTTATAGCCTACATTAGTCTCTCACACTTGTACAGAACTCAGCCCCAGAGTTCACCTTGAATTGAAGTTGAACTCGAATGAAGGCTAAAAATACAAAAACTTTCTTTTTTGGTCAGCTTAAAAAATACAAAATATATGTGGATTATTGGCCCAAACTAGAGGTGCCAAATCAACTCATAAGGTCGTTAATGGGTACCCATTAAGATTCATTTAATTTGATTTATCTTACACCATTATCACAACTACCAACCTTGCCTATATATTATTGTAATAACAAATTAAACGTGTCAGAACGGGTACTCATTAACAACTCAATAGGTTGATTTGACACCTCTAATCCAAATTTCATCATACTAAAACAAAACAATCATGAACCATGTGCCATAGATGAGTTTAGCACTAGCATATTCATACTCATACTTCCTTTCCCTTCGGAATAATCTTTCTTCTTGCCTTACAAACTCGCTTGTGTGGTCAATCAAGTCCTTTGAAGTCCACCTTGGTTGACGGCTTTGCCAAATCGGTTGTCAAGTCCTTTCCATGATGCAAACTTTGTGGCAAAAAACAAAGTAGTGATTATAATCAGCTGCAGCAATCTGAGCTTCAGCAGCAGCAGCAAAGGCCTGAAATTGGTTACAATAGTGCACCACATCCTTTTCCATAATCGGGCCGTAATCATGATTATTTGGGAACTTTTGATGGAGTTGGCGTGGTAAACCGTAAAAGAAAAAGGTACCACAACCAACCTTCACAGTGAAAATGGACTGATTACAAACCCTAATTATTCTTCAATCACAGGTCATCGCTGATAGCCCACGGTGGGGTTTAAATAACCAGCCTGAGTTTTCCTGGGTTTATTGGATGGTTGAAGAATGTTTGATAGGATTTTTACCAGTAAAAGTATGGATAAAAACACTTAAAATACTTGCAAGAGTACACAGTTATCGTAGTATCAGCTCAATGTAAGCTCGTTTTCCATGGGAATTGAATGAATAATTTTTATTTAAACTAATCCTCAGCTAATTATTTGAAACAAAGTTTCGAAAAGGTTGATTTTGAAATTTAAAATAACAAAAACGAATTTAACTAAAAACAATTAAATTGATCAACAAAGTAAAGAAAGCAAAATAAAACAGTTTGGAAAACAATTTAAACAGTAGGGTTCCGCCGTCACCATTATCAATCCTATGAAATTTTACTAATTATTTATGAATTTCCATATACATGCTTTGAAATTTTGAATGTTAGGTTTTCCTAATACATATTTTCCTCGTGATGTTCAAACAAAAACGTATATCTAACATGCAACCATCTGTGATGTTCAAATCAAATATAAACATGCAAGACTCATTAAGTTTTGTGAAAACCTTTTGAAAAACCATGCAACCCTTAAGAGTGTGATGTTCGTCTTAAGTGAACTTACAATTACTAATCACAAGAAGCCCTCCTCAATTTTAGGGTGATGTTTCAACAAAAAATTGCATCAAATTACTTGTCTAAATACCCTAATGGTCACGAATCACTAAGACAATTAGATAGTTTAATCATGATGATTAATGATTCAAAGCAAGCATGTATCCATTCATAAGCAAATTAATAAATCACATATTCATGTTAAGGCTCGTGGCCTCTCCCTAGCAAAACAATTAGTGACACATAATCATAATAAAAACTAAAGAAAATATCATTAACTAGAAAAGTGATTGAAAACACGTAAAAAAGTTTGAAATTCTCCAGAATAATGTGTCTTCTCTCCAACCCTAATAATGGCTAAAAAGTTTTATTTATACTACTACAAAATAAAACCCTACCTAGATAAGGTCTTAGAATAAGACTAGGAAACTAAATAAATTAAAATAAATTAAGAAATATTATCCTAAATTGACTAGTAAAATTTGCTTAAAATCAGCCAAGTTTTGGACTCAAATCTGCTCCAAAATCAGCCCAAAAAGCTGGATTTAAAGCTTGGATTATGCTAAACACTTCTCTAGAAGGCCACGAACCCATTGGAAGTCATCTTGAGCTCCAAAAATCGCAATTAAGTAAAAAAAGTCACTTTCCAACAACTCTTCTTTATTTCATTGCCAGAAAATAATCGTAGAAAAATGTGAAACTTTGACACGAGCAAGTTGAGAAACTCACAAACATACTCTAATTGGAATCGCTAAAAAATTCCACCGTTTGACTACTTTTTGCTCAAGAGGAAGTCGAAAGTCCTACATTAAGAATATAAATCAAAGTATTACAATTCTCACAAAATAACTAATAAATTAATACCAAGATAAGAGTAAAATATATAATATAATATCGATTCATCAATATTCATACTAAATGGTATAAATTTTTACTCTTTTAGTAATTTTCAAGTACCAATGCCTAGGGGTGGAAAAAACCACCGAAAATCCTAAACCGTACCAAAAAAATCCTAAAGTCAAACCGAAAATCCTGAAAATTTCGGTAGGGAAATCGGTATCACAATCTGACTTTTTTGGTAATACCAAACCGAACCGAAGTTAAAATATATATAGTTTTAACTATTACAGGCCGTTGGATTGGTTGAGAATTAATCTCAGCCGTTCATTCAAAATGTAGGGGTGGAAAAAACCACCGAAAATCCTAAACCGTACCAAAAAAGTCCTAAAGTCAAACCGAAAATCCTGAAAATTTCGGTAGGGAAATCGGTATCACAATCTGACTTTTTTGGTAATACCAAACCGAACCGAAGTTAAAATATATATAGTTTTAACTATTACAGGCAGTTGGATTGGTTGAGAATTAATCTCAGCCGTTCATTCAAAATGAAACCTTTTCTCAGTCTCAACTTCACTTTCAGACTATACTGAAACTCTCCGCCCGACCCCAAACCCACCTCGACCTCCACTCTTTCACTCTCTCCCCCTTACCTTCACACTACATCCAGTGTTCCATTTTCTTTTTGCATTTGACAACATCCTCTGCATTCGATAATCAATACAGCCACATCTGCTTCCTTCTACTTCTCTCTTCATTAAGGTAATCTTCTTGTCTTCATCAGGTAATCTTGATGTGGTAAAGTCTGTTTGTGGCTTCAATTCGTTTTTAATTTGGGCATTTGAATTCTAGGGTTTTGGATTTGGGGTTTTCAATTTCGTGTTATATTTTGTTTGAAATTTGGGTTTTTTAATCATATGGTTCTTCTATAATTCATTTATTTCCTCCTCGAAGCTAGCAGACCAGAGCTCCTTCGCCTCCTCCTCGAACTCTCTCTGTGAAATCGGGACTTGCAGCCAAGCACGGAGAGCCGATACAACATTATCATGCACTGATCTTTGATTTAGTGAGTGGAAACCGTAATGGTTCATTTACCTTGATTTATGGTTGCTCTGCATCTTTGTAATGGACCTGAGATATAATATTTCTGTTTCTGGTGTATTCCTTCTGCACTGCTCGATGCATCGTATTCGTTTTGTGTTGAATAAAAAAGTTTGTTCTTCTAGATTAGGGTTTGTGAAATTTAGCAATTGGAACTGATATGGAGGTTGTTGAAACCTGTCGAAATGTGGGCATAGTTTTTGGGGTTAAGTTTATATTGATTTCGGGTTTTGCAAAATTGATGATCTCACACTTTGTGTTTGATGAATAGCATTTCGAGCCGGCGGAAGTTGGAATGCTTGCTAGGTGCTTCTGTATACCTCTCGTATCTATTCGTGTGGGGAAGATCAACAAGCAAGGGACTCTCTTGTGTCCCACTGCTGCTAGGTAAACATCCGACTATCGATATCCATTGGTGCTTTGATTTGGTGTGTTTGTTTGTTTGAAATGTTGTTTGTAATTGATATTTTTCACTACTTTTGCTCGTTTAAATAGTTTGAACAAGAACCGTACAAAGTCAATCACTTAGAACAACTGATTGTCTTTGCGTTTGGATAGCTTTGCTGGGAATCTTTGGCTTTCGATTTAACTGTTGTTGGTAATATCCTGATGTTAGTACTGTCCGATGTTTCACAGTTAATCAAACATTTAATTTACTCCCGTTAGTTCAAATTTGTCCAATATTAATTGCGGAATGGATTTTGTTAATTGCAATAGGCGATTTTGTTACTTAATAATATAGGCAAGGATTTTGGTTTGATTATGTTAATTGCAAATGTCAATTGGGCTGACAATTTCAATATATAAGGTTAAATTTTAGCCCAAAAGTTCAATATGTTAAGTTTTAATCCAATAGCCCAAAAGGCCAAAAATATTTCGGGATTCCCTATTTGTTCCGAAATTCTGAAACTATTTCGAGATTCTCAAAAATTTGACTTAGGATCGATCTTGAAATTAGGATTGCCGATAACTTCGGTTTAGAAATTGGGACAAGAGTTTCGGTACCAGCCCTACCAATGCCATTTACATTCTAAGAAGGTTTCAATGAATGCTCTTTTTCTTGGTTGTTTATTTTCTTTCCATTTCTCCTTCATGTTCGTGGCTGTATTCTAGGGTTTCTTGGAAAGTGGAAGCACTCTGTTCTATAAGATAAAGATGTCAAACGAATTACCCTTAACATTATGATCCATATGATCCTCCTCATGGTTTTTAGGGTCTCTTTATATATAGAATCCTCAGTTCTCATTTACTAAGGAGCACTTCGCATGCATCATGTGTTTTCGCCCAACACGTGGGGACATGATCGCCGTGTCTAGATGGAAAGATTGCATGTGTGTCTGGGGAGAGAAATTTGATTGGGGGCAAGCCTAAGCACTTTCATAAGGAATGGGTGTAATATAGAAGAGATTCTCTCCTGCAACTAAAACATAATTTTAATGGCATCACTCTTTTAATAATATTTAACACGGTGTTTAAAATGTAAATCACTCGTCCAATGATCGCATATAACGTTGTGAATTGGTGAAAGGAAAGTATACGTCTCCTCCTTACGTATGTACAGCCTCTGATATACGTGGTCCTACCTGTCTGCGAGAGTGGCTAGTTAAGTTGCTATACAGAAAATTTTCTTGTTATTAGGATTACCAGTGCTTAGGGGGGTTCCAGATAGGGCTTCAGCCTCCTGTAATCCCTTCACGCGATGTAAGAAATGGATAAAATGTCAAAAGTTCCAATAAAGGGTAAAAACCCAATCTCTTGGGCAGCAGAAACTCACTCCGCGTTTTATTTCTTAATATTAATGGTAAATATCTCTAATTGGTGCTTAAGGCGGCCTCCTTCATTTATTTTTGGTTCATTGGCGAACAAGACAAGTTCAAACATTGTAAGAGAAATCATTCTGACAAACGGTTATTATAGACCTACGTGGAAAGCTTTTGACAGAAAAAGAAAGTGAGATGCAGGCTTGGCTGCCATTCCAAGGCTTTTATGTTGCCGTTCAGGCCTTATTTAAGATAGGAGAATGAGGTTAAAGCCGTCTTTTGCCTACAACGAGTAGCAGACTCTGGTTTCAATGCACGTGTGGAAGCCTGACTGAAGTTCCCACCCTACTTCCACTCAAAACGAGCATGTGACACTTGTTGAAAATGAGTCCCACATTGATGGGAGGAGAGACCTTGTATGGGCTTATAGGAGGTTGGGCTTCTTCCTATATTGCCAATTGATTTTATGATGGAACCTCAACTTTCTTCATGGTATTAGAGTAGGTTGTCTCACGTGCAAAGCCAAATGGCCACCCGCGCTCCATGTCACCCCATTGTGTTGTCCACATGTTAGACTTGAAAATTCGCCACACGTGAGGGGCCGTGTTGAGAATAAGTCCCACAATGATAGGAGGAGAGACCTTGCATGGGCTTATAAGAGGTTTGACTTTTCACCGTATTGCCAATTAGTTTTATGGTGTAACCCCAACTTTCTTCATTTCTAAAGGACATTCATACTTGTAGTTCCACTTTTTCTTTTTGCTATAAACAGGAATACCTGTGAAATCAGAGCCTCAGCCCCTACCATTTTTTTCATGAAATGAAAGCTGACTAGCAATCGCTTGTTTTTCTTATTAGCATGGATTGGATGTTAATAATGAAAGGTAGAACATCTATTAGAATGGGGAGTTCCTATTGATTTCCCCCGGTTGCCAGACCCTTTAACAATTTACTATGTGAGGTCTTGAGTGAGAATCATAATTTCCCCATAGAAGTTCCTATTGGTTCTATTGATTATTGATTCAACTAGAAGGACTCCTAGCACCAAACTTGTATGAAAGTGCTTCTATCATCACATAATTAGCAAGAAAATGGGTGTTGGAACAAGTCTTCTTAGAATTCTTAGTTAGAGCATCCTCTTTTTCTACAACAGCGGGAAAGCGGTGCATTCGTCTTGGCGAACTTAAAACAAAAAATACATGTCGATGAAAATAATTCAGTTCCATCTTAGGTTGTACCTTATACAGGCTAGTTTGCCACTATCAAAGTTATAGTCAAGATTTGGTTTTCTTTTCATCAAGAACACGATAAGAGCATCCATTTCACAAAAACCTGCAGACCCCATATCCTGCCACTTTAGCACCTTGTGATTTTTGAGAAAGATCATTACGATGGTTAGCAAATCTCAATTACAAAGATTTTACTACACTACTTATAACTTTTCACCGAAGACGAAAGAATAATCTCACTATCTTTTCACGCATCTCTTGATTTTTACCATCAGTCGTCGACTACTCTATGGCTAGTCGTCTACGATTATGACTCGCAGGCTCACATACCCTACACGGCTAATGCTATCATAATTCGGCTCACCTCATTATGAGTGACGACCATGGAAGAAAAAATAGATAATATCGGCGATATTTCGCCGATATTATTGGTTTTTTGCTTTACCGATATTTTAATAGGTATCCAAAATATTTTCGTCAAAATATCGCGATATTTTGGTTTCTCGACAGTCACAACCTCGCCGGAGAATCGGAATAACTCCGAGCAAGAACGAAACCTGCAACCAAACGGAACAAAATCATCACTATCTTTCAACAAAAATCACCACTTTATACCAAATCAGTGACAAAATTACACTAATCCGAGAAGCAAGGGCTTGAATTCGAGCAAGATCTGGAAGAAAACAGTAGAAGCTAAGAAATCGAGTACCTCACCGGCAGTTACAGTGCTAAAGATCATCATCTTTGGAAGGCCGCGGATCGTACGGAGCTGAGAGATCAATGAGCAAGCATTTCACAGATCGTATTCGATCAGCGGCTGAAAGAGAGGAGAGAGAGAGAGAGCAGAGGGAGACGCGGACGAGGAGGATTGTGCCGATGGGGACGACGGAGGAAAGGTAGAGGTCGCGGCCCGCGGGACATGGTGACGGGCTCGACGAGGAGTAAGGCGAGGGAGGAGCAGAGGGAGACGCGGACGAGAAGGATCGCGCCGATGGGGAAGACGGAGGAGAGGTAGAGGTCGCGGGACATGGTGACGGGCTCGACGAGGAGGAATGCCAGGGAGGAGCAGAGGGAGACGCAATGGAGAGATGGATCGAGAGATGATGTCTGTGTGTGTGTGGGAAAACTGGAGAAGGGAGAAGGGAAAGGAGAAGACTCAGAAGAAGAGAGAAGAAAAGGAGAAGACTCAGAAGTTCAGAACTCGGAAGAGAGAGAAGGAAGGATCGAGAGACTGAGCTCAGTCTCTGTGTGCATGTGTGGTGTGGGGGGTCTCGAAGTGCGTGTGTGGTGGCGTGTCACTCACTCTCTGACTTGCTCTCTGTGTGTGTGGTGGCGTGTGAGATTAAATGCTATATTTGTGGACAACGATCAAATGCTAAAGATTAAACAAACATAATATGTTCTACTGCTTAGCAAAAAAAGCTACAAACCCTTTGCTTATCAACAAAAAAAGACAAGTCCTTGCACTAGATATACTTTCAAATTACGTTGAGTAGCAACCTGATATATGTATTCAGACGAATTATAAAACAATTGACACACTCCTGGCTTCCAAAATTCAATTCTTTTACTTTATATAAACTTGAAAAAACATAATCGGCATCCAAATTAAAGTTTAGTCTTATTCAACGTATTGATTTTCAATCGTTAATTGATATACTATAATTTGGAACTTCAACGCCTAGACGCATGCTTATGTGTAAGAAATTTAAAATGTCAAATTCGGCACATTATTCTTCATCATTTTATTCACTTCCTTTTTGTTTTTAATATCCTAAATAAAACCTCTCAATATTGTACTAATTAATTATATAAATGATTATGGTGTGTTTAAACTTCTTTCATTAATTACTACATATTTTCTACACTCACAATGTTTGCCAGCTCGCTATATAATCCACTTAAATCAGTTAAATCCATCATGCAATGCATTTCCTTCCAATTTTTTGTGATAAACTAATAGATAATTGACTAAATAAACATCCTGCAAAGTTTCATTAAAAATTTCCAAGTTTTTCTTACAATTTCCATGGTTTCCATGTAATTTTTATCGATATCGATAATCCCGATATTTCCATCGATATTTCCGTGTTTTCAGACTACCGATATTTCCGATATTACTGATATTTTCTTCCTTGGTAACGACTTATATTGGATGTTAAGCTTTCATAATCTAATGATGGAACTGCACTAAATGTACAAACTCATATGGAAGGCGGCTAACGTTTCTGTAGGATTGTTGACTTCTTGGCCCTATGATGTATCAACATAAACTACACAAGTCATCAAAGTTTTCACAAAATAAATGCAAGTTTCTTCTTTTTATCAGTGGATTGTCATGCAGAAAGCTTCGTTTTCAAAGAGTATTAATCAAACATCTCTGGTACTGTTCATTTTAATGAAAAATCATATTTTTACATTAAAAAGTCAATCATAATACTATTCATTTACAACATATTTTTGTTATTTTCGTTAAAACTCAATGTTTTCATGTCATCTCCATTAATTTTCTTATGTTTTTATTTGGTTGATCATAATAATTTGCTGTACTATACTAGTGTAGATGTGACATTATATTGTGGCATTAAACACTCTCCACCTACCACCTTGTTGGGGGTGTATGTTCATATGTAGAAAGTACTAAAGAAAGGGACCATTTGATCACAAAGAAAAATCTTTCTTGCGCTAAAGCTTGTTTATATGAAAATATTCAATTTCAGAAAAACTAAATCATAGTCAATGCTAATCAGTTTATAAGATTATAATTATTCAACATTTTCACAAGACAAAGTGTATAAACTCATTGAAATTACATTTAGAATTTCATGGAAAATACTACAAAATCCTGCCAATTTTATGGAGGCAGGAGGTGTAAGCAAGCACATATTCCAATTGCTTTCGTTGCTGCTATACTTGTGTCAGTGCCTCAGCTGTCGCTAAAAGGCTCGAACTCCTTTCACACCTAAATGGAAGAGCTCAAGCTTCAACTAAAAGTCTAGGGTTTGAAACATCGAAGAATATTTACGACATTTCAGAAGAGTTTCCTTGTTCTTCAAGCAGTAGCATTGCAAGTCCACAGATTTCCCCATATATTTTCATAAGAAATCTCAATACATTCATCAATGGTCTGGTGCACTAGCATGTCCAGAATCCGCCCTTCAAATTCCTCGCAGATTTCTTCGAAACCTTCGAACCCGACCGCATTCTTGGCCACCCAATTTGATTCTTTCAAATCCTCCTCTATCCAATTTTGGATTTTGGAAGCCAGCAGCTCTGCGTAGTCTCTGGTTTCCTCCTCCCTAATCGGCTCAAAATCTTTCCTTTTAGCTGCGTTCACTTCTGATCTGTCACTAAATGGAGCTTTTGGCGACGGTTTCACCTTAGAGTTCAAATCCATGGGAATTGAATATCCTATAAGAAAAATTAACCCACAAAAATGAATTTAGAATAAATTGGTTATACAACGTGCTAAATTGCAATCAAAATTGAGGAAACAAAAGCAGACATGCGCTTAGTTAAGTTGATCAACTGTATGCTCATTCTACGTTCGGTTTCGAATCTATTTTTTTTTTATAATTTAAAGATTAGAGTAATTAGAATATTCGTTGTAACATGAAAAGCAAAATTTGAGGAAACAAAACAAACCTGATAACCAAGCTTCATGCTCGATCAAAATGTCATCAATGCCAAGAACAGAAGCAACACTTGTATCATTCTCTGAGGAACCATGAAAATCTGCAGCCACTTTTTCCTTTTCAGCTTCAATTTTCTGCTTTCTCTTCTTGATTCTTGGTTCCACTACAACTTTCTTCTTCTGGGTTGTCTTCTTCATTGCAATATTTTCTCTCTCCCCCTTCAAATTTGCACCACCATTTTTAGAACCCTTTGAAGATTTGGCACCAAAATCCCTTCTGGGCTCATCTTTTAACCTACAAATGTTCTTGTTTTGCTTTATCATTACTATTTTCTCCTTCTTCTCCTCCTTCATAATCTCACCAATCTCTCTGTTTTTCTCCTTGTTCTTGTTCCTCTGTTCCTTCTTCCCCTGCCTCAACTCCCCAAAACTCAACTCGGATTTCTTCACCTTCGACCCAACTTCCTTCGATTTCTCACCCACATTGTCCAAATACACAACCACAAAATCATGGCTGCTCTTCTGACCATTCATTACCTCCGGGACTTCGCGAAAAGAGACCGAAGTTCGAACCCTTCGATGCTGGTGATTCTGATGATCATTCGAGTCGAAATCCATCAAGTAATCTGCAAAACTCAGTGACCTACTCCGACTGACCAAGTCCGGGCCTCTTGAAACCCAATTTGTTTCCGGCAACGAGTCCAAACCCATCAGCCTTGCCACGATTCCAGGCGTGACAGAAGCTGAAGACTGAATTTTGGGATCAGGGTTTTGTTTTCTTGGGGGTTTTGCGAGCTGGGTTGTGTTAGAATCTGAAATTTGGTCTGATGGATGAGTCGGAACGCTTCCATTGCACAGAAGCCTGCGCAGGATGATATTGAAGCAGCCGGAGTTCTGATGAACTGAGTTGCTACTCATGACTGTAAATTTGTAGAGAGAGAGTTTAAGCTGTGTTTTAGGAGTGAGAGAGAGAGGGGTTTTTGGGTGATTGGTGCTGGTTGCTTATCAAGGAAGGATTGAAGACTTTGGTCGTTGAGTTCACATTAGGAACTAGAAATATAGAGAAGATGGGAAAACTGGTGTTCAGACGCGCACTGTGGTCGCGTAAAGAATGTATTAGTTTAACACTTGACCTTTCAACGTGTTGCTGTCAGCCATGGAGAATTATAGTGGATTATTATTTAGGAATTTTAAAAAGAAGCTTTCGGTAGTTAACAAAAAAATTAAATTTTTACATTAAAAAATTAATCATGATACTATTCATTTTACCTTTTATTTTGTCCTTATCGTTAAAACTCAAAGTTTTCAAGTCATTTTCATTAGTTTTCCTTATTATTTAAGGAAATGAATCTTTCGGATCTCTTCCATCTAATACTCCTCATCAAACAATTCAAACTTTTGAAATTTGATCTAACGACTAAAAACACGGGTTCACTTTAAAAGTTTTAATAACTTTAATCATTAAATCAAATTTTAAGAATTCATATTGTTTAATAAAAAGAATTAAGTGAAATGGATCCGAGATGTTCCCTTTCCATTATTTAAGAACTCTACTTGGCCTATACTATAGAATATGGTCTATGAAAATATCAATTCTATTTATATCACATCAAGTACTAATGCTGCGTGGCGGTAAGGTCGTCATATTTCAAATTCAAGTTTAAAATATTACTAGCTTTCGTCTTTATTTGCAAGTTACATCTTGGTCCACATGTAAAAAATTAATCCAGGAAAGTCACCTGAAAAAATATTGGATGCATGTCAAATTGTGACTTATTTGCTTCTAAATTCTGATCAAAATCATTACAACTTATATATTAATGTGTCAAGTTGTGATTTACTCGTAAAATATTTTACGTGAATTGATTGGTTTATTACATGCATCAATTATAGAAGAAATCAATATGCTATTGTGATGCTAAAGCATTATATCTCTAACCTATCGTACAACGTTATATTTTCTCACATAGTATCATGTGACTGACTCGAGGTATTATATATATATATATATATATATATATTTTTTTTTTTTTTAATTTTAATAAACGATGAAAAATTTATATAAAATTCATCTAAACTATAAAAAAAAGTGAGAATTTGGAGATTTAATGAGTTGAAGAATAAGACTATATCCACCAAAATAACATATTGTTTACGAATACATGCTTTCTTGACGTCCAATTGCATGTAGGGTTAGTACTAAAGATGCCGAAGTTGTTGACCTGATATTCTTCCATTTTTCTGAAATTTGAGACACAAGTAGTACGAATTCCAATTTCGAACTCACCGACTTTGCTGACTCTTAATTTGGGAGTTTATCGGGTTCAATTGGTTCTAAAGCTCAGGTGGCCTTGCACAGTTGAGTGTAGTGGTCCAGCCCAAAGTTATCTGACTTGTAATTTGGTTGACCATAGAGCTTTATGGAGGGGAAAATGTAGAAGCATGGAAAATTTGGGTCTAGTTACGCAATGAGCATATCATAATAATTTGATATTGAATGCATCATTCATTATATCTAAACTAAATACCTCTCTTAAAAATTAAAAAAAAATATCATTAAATAGTAGTACTAAGAGTTTAAGAGCAAGTTTGATTTATGTTTTAGTTAAATTGTCCATTGTTTTACCAAAGGTATTAAGAAAGATTGTAACTAACCCCTTCGCAGTTCATCGTCTACACGTTACCCTTCCATCTTCCACGGTGATTAACCAGTTTTGTGCCCTCGTCCACGGTGAACCTTAGTGGTTTTGTTCCAATTGGAAAGTGTACTTGACCCTCGGTGATTTTTCTGTGAGTTAGGTGTCTGTGGGTAAGCTTACTTGGACTCATAAATGTCGTCCTCTGAGATGAACATGGAAGAGGAATTTATGGACTACCTCTCGTTTAACTTCGAGGATAGTCTGTACCTGGAGGATAAGAGTGAAGAATTGGTACATATGGTTGGAATGCTTATTGCGGAGGTAGAACTAGGAGGTCATGATAAGTGTAGCGAGAAAGATGGGGAATGTGAAGGTCTCCAAAGCTAAGCTAAATGTGTACTACATTCAGGTGGGAGATGAAAAAACTACTCGGTGGATACTTAAGGGCAACCCCTGGTTTATTAAAGGTGCCCCATTTACTGTTAAACTTTGGCCTCTATAACAATCCTTGGACGAGATTTGTGCAAACAAGACTATCTTTTGGGTCCAAGTTCATGGAATTCCAAGAGTATTATGTATTGCCAAAAATGCAAGGATGTTAGGGGCAAAAATAGGCTCAGTGCTGGAAATTGAGAACCCTATTGCCTTAAGGTTTCAGGGTTTTCTGTGGATTCGTGTGGACTTTGATGATACAAAACCACTCCTCACCAGTTTTGTCATGTCGTGCCCTTAAAATGGAAGTCGAACTCTCCAGCTTTGGTATGAGGGTCTGAAGGATTTTTGCTATAACTGTGGTAGCTCAGTCACATTCGCAACTGCCAGTGGAAAGCTCCCATCAGCAGGGATGGTGAGAATCGCTATAATCCGAACCTGAGGGCCCTGACTGTTTCGAAATTATCGATGAGTTTATTCCCTAAACGTGCATCTCATCCTTTGTTCACCGGTGGTGGCGATAGTCTGTGGCGACATCAGGGGGAGAACGACAAGCATCATTGCGTGGATGTCGGGGATCGTGACACCCGTCATTTAGTCTCAACAATTGAAGGGACATCCGGCAGGATCTTTGGAACTTGTAGTACTGCTCATCCTGCCATCATAGAGAATATGGTGACCAAGACTGACATCTTGATGCTACAAGGTGATTTAAATTTCGATGAGCTGTTATCTTCTACATCTCGAAAGGTATCTTTGCTGGACTAGGGTAACATGGACCACCCAGATAGCTTCAGCACCCACTATCATAACAGAACTTTCACCTTAGCTATTAATGGCATGTCCCTTGATAAAAGTTGGTACAACCCAAGGAAAGTTCCCCTATGGGCCTTCACGAATGTCCACGACCTCTTGGACAACCCATTTGAGAGTGGTGCCACTATGACAAGTAAGGATAGTAGGCATGCTAAACTTCTAAGGATAATCGAATTGGAAAAAGGTGAAACCCTTCCATGCCCATCTGGGCCCAATAATTGTAGACCAAAACCATATGCAGAAGCACAACCTATGTGTAGTGACTCACCTACCACTATACTTTAAAAAATGAGAAGTAGAGAGGAACGTTTACCTGTTCACGCAGACAAAAAGCAGAAAACCTCTAACTTTGTGGTAAAATTATCCCACTTGTTCATCATCAGTCATCGTAGCAAGCGGGGGCGCGGAGGACTGAAAGGCAAAACCCATGGTATCCATAAGAAAAGTGCTTTAGAGGAAGAAACATAACTTAAAGATGTGTTGATTAGTCTATCCAATGAAGTGGTGGAGGCAGAGCATCTGGGATTGTTGAGTGGTAAGAAGAAACGGATCAATGACCTATCTCAAGTAATGGAGGCTGGCATGCACCAGCCCCGCCCCAATGAAAATTCTAGCATGGAACTGTCAAGGGCTTGGGAACCCTCAGAAAGTTCAGGATCTGCTTAGTTTCATTAAGCAGAAAGCTCCCACCATGGTTTTCCTAAGTGAAACCAAATGTGATGAGAATAAATTGAAGAAAGTGCAATTAAGTTGGGGTTTTACAAACAGCTTTGTGGTAAAAGGAAGTGGCAAATCGGGGGGACTTGCTAATGCTAGCTCTTTGCCTTGGATATGCGCTGGAGATTTTATTGCAATCCGAGAAGGAAAGAGATCCTGCTAGACTAATGGGCTAGATGATGTGTAACGCCTCGACCAAAAAAATTTATTTTGGAATTTATATTTAGTGGTAGGCCAAAATGGTCATTGTTTCCGTCTATGTTAATAATCACTCTAACATTTCTTTCTTTGACGATTTTCCACCAAAATTTAACCTCGTTTATTTTAAGGCTAAAAAAATAAAATAAAATAACAATTCAATAGAAATCACATTTAATAAACAAGTATAACTCAATATGGTGTCATTACTACCTAAATCGAGGCACACATCATCATGATGAGCCCATTAAGCTCCATGAAAACCCAACAATACTCTAAGATAAATGGCACGCTAGGAACAAGGTTTAGTTGACTAAAAAGTTAACCGTCGATCAAGATCGAGGATAAGGTCCACAACTCTAGAAATCTAAACCGGAAGATCCAACTTTCAGATTTATGATCCATAACTTCTCAACATACACATTATTCTTCTAGAACAACATAATAAAATTTCATTACAATCCAACGGCTGAATCTCCGCCAATTTGCAAATTCAAGTGGCGATCAACGTTTAATTTTACAATCTTAGAAATCCAATTCGGAAAGATCCGTATATCGGATTCCCTATCCGTAAGTTCCTATTATCCTTAAATATTACGTACTACTATGTATTAAAGTTTGGTGACGATCCAATGGTCAGATCGTTGATTCAAATAATGTCCAAGTGACGGTCTTTATCAAAACTATAATCATATGACGAGATTTCATCAATCGAACGTCACATATGGAATCAGGGTAATCAAATTAGTTTAGGAAAGGCAGGTGGGGTCTCAACCCACATGTCGCCGCACGTGAGGGCTACTTGCCTCGAGCTGTCGGAAAATTCAACTATTTCAAAAAATTACCAAATTTTACAAGCAAGTAGATCTCAGTAAGGGGAGAAATTTTACAGTTAAAAGTACCTATCATGTGGCTCAGCTGTGGGTCCTCTCTCCCGCCCTCTTGGCATCTTCCTCAGCCTCTACTAGCCTATTTTCTACTCTTTAGAAAAATTTATGGTAGGCCAGTGTCCCTCCCAAAGTAAAGATGATGGCATGGAGAATTATTTCAGATATTGTACCAACGGCTGACAACCTCTGCAAACGAAGAGTTCCAATGAGCCAGTTGTGTATTCTATATGATTCGGCACTGGAATCGACTTACCATCTCATGGAGTGTCCTTTTGTTGTTGGTGTTTAGCGAGCTGCACCATTATCTTGCCAGATTCTGCACCGGAATTATGGCTCCCTCAAGGAATGGGCTTTAACTGTGGTGCAGAATTCTAAATGAGTAGATTTTGAATGTGTCTTGATGCTACTTTGGGCTATTTGGACGGCAAGAAATTCAAAACTATGGGGTGAGACTCCAAGCCCGAACCCTCTAATGGTTATGAGTCGAGCAGTGGATTGGTGGCAAGGCTTTTTACGAGTGAATTGCTCTCCCTTCCATCCAAACAACCTGAGGGCTCCCCTTTGGTGGTCCTGCCCTCCATTAGGTAGAATGAAGTTAAATGTTGATGGAGCTTGGGACAAGGAGCATTGCATTGGTGGTATAGGGATAATCATTAGAAATGTTGAAGGAATCTGTGTTGGTGCGGCTACTCGGGTGCTTAAGGAAGTGTTTACTCCGGCACAGGTTAAAGCCTTGGCCTTAAGAATAGGGCTTGAACTGGTGGTTGAAAGGGGTTTAATCAAGATGGATATTGAGAGTGATGTGCTTCAGATCGTTTCAGTAGTGTTGGATTCCTCGGTGAATCGATCTCCCATGGGACCTATCATCAAAGATGTCAAGTTCTTGCTGACTCTGGTCGCTGAAGCTTCTGTTGCCCACATCGGCCGTCAAGCAAATTCGGTAGCACATCGACTAGCTCGTTATGCCCTCCATACTGGACGAGATTGTACTTGGTTCGATGAACCTCCTCTTATCATTAGTGATCTTCTTTTAGAGGATGTTTCCCTACCTTGTACAAATAAGCCTTCTTCTAGCTTTATGAAATATATATCGTCCTTCTTCTTCAAAAAAGAAAAAGAAAAAGAAAAAAAAAATTGTAACTTTAAAGGTTAGTTCTGTAAATTTCAAAACAATTGACTAAAGTATTATATGCCCCTAGATCACATAGGTGTAAAATGTGATTGACCCTTGGTTACAATTTGCTTGACTAAAGGTGTTGATTAATTTGTCATTTGCAGTTTTTTTTATATAATAATATTCCACTTTAAAGAGACAATCAGATATATGGGTTAAATCAATTGGGCATAGATAGTATGTCTTCCTCAACCCAAGTTCAAATGCACATCTCCTCCATACATTAGAGCAGCTTAATTAATCTTGCTTAAAGAGAAAGCCATAATTAATTATCAAACTCGTCGTACAATTAAAAAAAGAAGAAAATAGTACGTGGACTCGCCCACAAAGAGTCCGCATAAACTTGCTAGACACATGGATTTTAAAAACTTAACCACATGGAACCCTACAAGGGAGAGGGTCTTGGTTGGACTCGCTTTCGAGCGAGTCCGCCTGGCAATCCTCATAAAAAAATCATAATTAATTATTAAACTTGTTATTTGAGTTGAAGGTCAGACTTCATATTAATCAATAAAGAGGAATATCAATGTCACCCTCATACAAGGCTCGGAAGTTGTCTGAGAAAATGATTCGGCCATTTGTCCGGAGTTAGGGATTTGATTAGTCAAATTATGCTTTCGTCGTTTAACTGGATGCATTGAGACCAAAGTAGTGGGGCAAAATTTGCTTTAACACAAATTGACCTGTCAACGTGTTGCTGTCAGCCATGGAGATTTATATTGGATTATTATTTAAGAACTCTACTTGGCCTATGCCATAGAATATGATGAAATATCTATTCTATTTATATCACATCAATTACTAATACTATGTAGCGGTAAAATCGTTATATTTTGAAATTTAAATTAAAATATAATGAGTTTTTTGTCTTTATTTACAAGTCACATTTTTACAAAACTAAAAGGTCGTACCCAGTGCACAAGGCTCCCGCTTTACGCAGGGTCTGTGAGAGGTGAATGTCGGCTAGCCTTACCCCCATTTATGGAGAGGCTGCTCCCAAGTCTCGAACCCGAGACCTACCGCTCATGGGCGAAGGCACTTGCCATCGCACCAAGTGCGACCTCTACATTTTTACAAAACTAATTCAGAAAAATGACAAACAAAAAAGTATTACGTGAATGTTAATTGCGACTTACTTATTTCTATCCAAAACCACTGCTACTTATTTATTAATGTGTGTCAAGTTATGATTAACTCACAAAATATTTTACGTGAATTGATTGATTTATTACATACCTCTATCATAGGAGAAATCTATATGCAATCGTGATGCTAAAGCACTGTATTTCTAACCTATCACGCAATGTTATATTTTCTCACATAGTATCATGTACTGATTTGAAGTATTGGTACATGTTTTTTTAATAAACGATAAACAATATACACAAAAATTCATTTACACTACAAAGAGACATGAGAATTTGAAAGCTTAATGAGTTGAAGAATAAGACTATATCCACCAAAATAACATATCCCTTACGAATAAATGCCATCTTGACGTCCAATTGCATGTAGGGTTAGTACTAAGGAGCTAGCAAGCATGAAGAAGAATTAAAACATGGGGTTGAAAATTGAAGAAACGCTTGGGTCCCCCCCCCCTCGTCGAGGAGGAGAAGTAGAAAAGATGCCGACGTTGTTGACCTGATAGTCTTCCATTTTTCTGAAATTTGAGACACAGTGGTACGAATGCCAATTTCCAACTCACCGACTTTGCTGACTCTTAATTTGGGAGCATATCGGGTTCAATTGGTTCTAAGCTCCGATGGCCTTGCACAGTTGAGTGTAGTGGTGACCATAGAGCTTTATGGAGGGGAAAATGTAGAAGCACGGGAAATTTGGGTCTAGCTACACAATGAGCAAGTCATAATAATTCGATACTAAACGCGTCATTCATTATATCCAAACTTAAGACCTCTCTTACAAGTGAAAAATATATTATTATACTGTAGCACTAAGAGTCTAAGAGCAATGAGCATGTCATAATACTTGGGCCTCCCGCGTCATTCATTATATCCAAACTTAAGACCTCTCTTACAAGTAAAAAATATATTATTATACTATAGTACTAAGAGTCTAAGGGCAAGTAGGATTTATGTTTTAGTTAAATTGTCCATTGTTTTACCAAAAGCATTAAGAAAGATTGTCACTTTAAAGGTTATTTTTGTAAATTTCAAAACAATTGACTAAAGTATTATATGCCCTAGATCACATAGGTGTAAAATGTGATTGAGCCTTAGTTACAAGTTGCTTGACCAAATGTGTTGATTAATTTGTCATTTGCAGCTTTTTATATATAATAATATTCTACTTTAAAGAGACTATCAGATATACGGGTTAAACCAGTTGGGCATAGGTAGTATGTCTGTCTCAACCCAAGTTCAAATGCCTCTCTCCTCCATACATTTGAGCAGCTTAATTAGTCTTGCCTAAAGAGAAAGCCATAGTTAATTATCAAACTCGTCGCACAATAAAAAATTAAAAAAATGGAGAAAATACTATGGGGACGCGCCCCCAAAGAGTCTGCATAGACTTTCTACACACGTGGGTTTCAAAAACTAAACCACGTGGAACCCTACAAGGGAAAGAAAGCGAGTCCGCCTAGCAATCCTCATAAAAAAATCATAATTAATTATTAAACTTGTTATTTGAATAAACTTGTTATTTGAATAAACTTGTTATTTAAGTTGAAGGTGACACTTCATATTAATCAATAAAGAGGAATATCAATGTCACCCTCATACAAGACTCGGACGTTGTCTGAGAAAATGACTCGGCCATTTGTCCAGAGTCAGGGATTTGATTAGTCGAATTATGCTTTCGTCGTTTAACTCGGTGCATTGAGACCAATGTAGTGGGGCAAAATTTGCTTTAATCATGGAAAAATACATGGTCCACAAAAAGAATAATCATACCCAACTGAAAGGAATGAGATCTACTTTGGATTTCTGTGTACCAGAGATCCAAATCCTTCAAGAGACACAAAAATATTTGAGCGATTCAATTTTTGGATTTTTGTGAAGTGGGCCAATGAAATAGGCTAATAGAGGTCGTAGGATTGAAACTGAGTGATTCGAATCTCTCAGTCTGCCGAAAGGCTAATAGGAGTCGTAGGATTGGAATTGTGTGATCCGAAACTCTCAGCCTGTGGGTTTTGGACATAGAGATTTGAAATGGATCTCAATCCCCCACTGAATCCACGAATTTCTATCGAAGCAAAAGATTGTTACTTTCATCTACTATATATTTCGAAAAATGATTACCGCACGTAATATTTTTTTAAACATGTTTAATAACGTTCGTTGTTTCCGTTTGATTTCAATCAGATGACTAGCAAGTGTAGGAAGAGAACAAAAAATTGATCTTCATATTTGAAAGGAGAGTATACAATGCATGATAGCAGAAAGAGAGATTATTTTTCTCTCCATAAAGAATTGAATACAATAAATAAAAATTTCACTATTGCACTATTCTTTTCTAGACCACAAAATTCTGAGTAAAAAACCAGTGGAAAAGGCAGAGGCCAATGCTTAGAGATTGAAAACTTATCTTGTGGTCCAAGAAACTAAGAACTGAAGCTTTAATTTGATGGAGGAAAGCCACCAAAGCTAGGGTCAGTTTGGTAGTACACAACATCGCCATTGTCACTCACATAGTGGTCCTTTTTCAAGCTTTTGATAAAACTTCCAAGCAAGTGAAATGGTAGAGGTCCTGATTTCTTCGGCTCTCTGTAGTAGTTCCCGAATACCGGCTTTGCTGCCTCAGTCTGCAAGTTGAAGAAGAAGAACATTAAATTACTGCCGTAAGGGTTTTTTGGTTATGTGAAATTGTTTTAATCGTTCTAAAGGTAACCCCAAACATGGCCTTGTATTGATATTAAGTTGGTACTTACTGCTTCAACCAAGTGGTAGTGGGGGATTTGAGGAAAAAGATGATGAACCACATGGGTTCCGATGTCGTGGTGGATGTTATTGATCAATCCGTAGTCCCGATCCAGTGTCGTAAGCCCTCCCCTCAGATAACTCCATTCCTGTCGAAGTTTTGAGGAACAAAATTTTAACATTTTGCAAAAACTTTAGCAACAAACTTAAACCAGACAAGATAAGATGATTGTGGAATTTTCTTTGTGTTGGCAACTTGGTATCATAAGAAGAAATGGCTATCGTGAACTAAAAATCCACGTACCTTCCCTCGATACCATGGTAGTTTGTCTTCGTGCCCATGGTGATGCAAGTAAGTTACCAAATCCAGCCACATGACAAAAACCTAAGAATAAAAGAAGAGTCAAATTTCGATTCTTGTTTGATTAAGCGAAACCATAGAAGATTAAGATGCAAAATATACCCAGTAGGGAATGCCGTAGAGCTTAAGCACTTGAACAGGACCCATTACAAACGATAATCCCACAAGTAAAGCAGCCATTGCTGTCCAACATACAGTGGAAGTGATCACATCTTTCCTCTCATTCGGGACAAATAGATCGCTCTTCGGGTCAAAGTGGGAACCAGTCTTTCCTGGACTTCTATTCCACTGTGGGAACAAATCACAATCAGTTACTATTTTCATATTTTCATGAATTATGAGGTTCAAATTATTAATCAAAAACTTACAAGATAGAAAGGATAAGCAAGCATGGGAAAAGGAACGGTGAAGCGCAAAATTCGTGTCATGCTATCCAATTTCTTGTAGATTTTTTCAGACAACTGCAAGCATAGAAATTTATCACCCTCAAACAGTTGGAAAAACTTGAGATGCATCAAGAAAATGAAGAGCAGAGAAGTGTTACAACGAAAGGAAAAAAGACTAACCGGGTGCCATGACTCGTCATTCTCAACATGACCATGGTTTTGATGATGAGTCCTGTGGCTAATTCTCCTGAAAAGTTCAATCACCATTTTAGTTCATGCTTTCGAATGTTTGATTACACAGTAACAAAGTCGATCATTGGAACTCACAATACCAATACTCAAATCAAAATGCACCATATTGTACTAATCTACCATCAAGAACATACCATCCATGATAGGGTACAAGAATTGAAGAATGCAAGAGATGCCCCACAACACTGTTTAGCTTGGGATTATTCGAAAAGCTTCCATGGCCACTGCACAATCACAAACCAGACCAACAATTCACACCAGAAAACACAAATTGACTTATTGCAAACGTGGGTGTAGCTCCCCCTATGCCCTCGAGTTTCGAATCCCCACCGCAGTTTAAATTAGTGTAAAGTAGAATATCGCTTGTATAAAAAGATACACAAAAATATAAAAAGGGAATAAAGGGAATGATTAGTAATTACCAATCATGGCCAAGAACAAAGATAGCCCAAAACATTGTCCCCTGAGCAGCCCAATACAGAGGCCAAACAAACCACTTGTTCACATAAACCGCAGCCGCAGCCAACCCGAAAACCACCGCCACATCCCTCACCACATAGCTCATTGACCTCCACGGGTCCCTAACCCAACAATGCTTCGGAATGGCAGCTTTAACATCGGCTAATTTGAACGGCGGCGGCGCACCCGGATCAAATCCCACCTCCTCTTCTCCATCTCCGCCGCCATTAACGCCGTTAACTCTCTCCTCCTCCTCTTCAACAGAAGCTACCCTCACCGGAGCGCTCACGTTAAGATCCCATCTTCTCTCTCTAAACAACCCACCTGCGATTTTGGTCGAATCCAATCTCAGATCCGCCGAGCTCTGGTTTGACCGAAAAATCCGAACTTTTGACCGGTAGCTAGAGCAAACTGCGGTTCTGGGTCGGTTCCAAACTTGCGGGAGAGGCTTTAGGCCGCATTCAGAGAGGACCCAACTCGCCATTGGAGACCCAGATGGAGCAGAAACACCCGCACCAGGGTTTTAGTTCCGGGTCTCCCTCAGGCTTCTAGAGAGAGAAAGAGAGGAGAGAGAGAGTATTTGAAGCTGTAGCAAACACCAAAAGAAGCGACTTCTGATGAAAAAAAATATCTAGGATTTTAAAATTGAGAAAAAATATATATGAGATAACAAATTGGTTTTCGATTTCTTTTCCTCAAACAACTAAACAAATACAATTTATATTCATTTTGTCTCAGAGTTCTTGGCTCTGTGTTCTTCTGGGTAAAAAGGTCAAAAAATAATTTTTATTTCAAAGTAGGATTCTCTCTCCTTCAAGTAAAAGTATGAACATTGAATGTTTCCGATTCGTTTTGATGAGGACGAAGATGGGCACATGTGTCGGTTATATATAGGACCCAAGACTCTGCGAGAAAGTCTGAAGCTTCGGCCATTGCCACTTGGTCAGTGGGCTTCAACTTTTTCTGTTAGTTTTGTGACGTTTTCTAGCGTGCGACCAATATTCTATACCGAAACGTTACTGTTAATTATTGATTAAAATTTAATAACTAATTTTTTTTTTCCTGGTGATGATGTTAGTGTGTTAAATAATTAGTGGCTTAAAAAAAAGACTACTTAGAATCCTATCGCATCAGAGTGCATGGAATGATCGATTTTCATCACTGATTATAAAGATCCAGCCATTGCATCGATTGCTGTGTTATCTTAGGGATTCCGTTTTATGTTAGCTTGCATCATTTTCCTAGGAGTCTTAAGAATTTTCGTGATCATAATTGTTCATCGTATATTGTGCAGTCAGAAATCATTTTAAATTTTAAAATTTAAAATTAAATATAAATAATATTTAATGAAAACTGATCGCACAATGTACAATGAACGGTTATGATCACGTTTTTCCTAAGATTGTTAGGAAAAAGATCTGACGAGGATTATTTTCCATTTGTGGAAATTAGAATTTGCTCAATTGGTGCTATTGTTGGCTTGACCTAATAAGGGAGTTTGATTGGTGGGCTGTCACGCATGATTTAAATAAGAAAGAAATGAAAAGCAGCCCATGAGAATTTTATGCTTTATATTCTTGATATGCATTTTGACTACTAAATCACCCCGCCGTCCAACTAATTTTTTTTTTTTTTAAAAAAAAAAAACCTTCCAAGTAAATCAGTCTGTTAATTACCATTTAAGTATATTGGGACTGATTTACTAGTACAAATTAACACTAAAATAAAAACCCGTCCAAGTAAATCAGTTTCTTAATTACCGTTTAAGTATGTTGGGACTGATTTACATCTACAAATTGACACTCAACCCAAAATTTGGTATTTATCTCAATTCTTCTAGGCCAAATTGTTAAAAAAATTCATTTTTTTCCGCCTCGATTTTGACTATACTTTTTATTTTCTTACTGAAATGGTTTTGGGTTGAAATTTTTTCAAATGTTAATCATAAAACACTCATATTTGACATTCTTTTATTCTTGGGACATAATATAGATAAAATTATCGCACGCTAGTCATGTTGATATATTACATAGTACCAATAATGCTTTTCGACCAAAAAATTTACCAACGATGCTTCCTATTATTTTCAAAACTCCCACTTCCTTAAAATTAATATAATAGTTTCGAACTCTCTCATATATTCAATTATAACAATATGTTTTTTTTGGTCAAATACGGATAACTATCCAACTTTAAAGGGTAATTCCAAATTGGTTCCAACTTTTGAAAACATTCCTAATAATTGGACATTCATTAGGTCTCAAACATTAAGTGATGACTTTAACAAGTATTGAAAAGGGTTTCACTCTCATGTCATCTACAAACAATAGATTCATTATTGCGCATTCATGTATCTCCATGCTCATACATATGAACCCTAGTATCATAATATTGGCGCCCCTACGAATCAATGAGGGTTTTGAGGTGAAATCAAAGTTCAAAATTTATAGCTATAAGCATCCATGTATCCCCTCCATGCCTTCTGTTCTACTATTTTTTTAATACAAATTATAATCTATACTAAATTAGTATCGTTAAATAATTCAACTCCTGTAAAAAGAAGACTACACTATTCTAGCTAACTTGAAAGGATAAACAAACTTACGAAACTTTTCTGTACACTCATGCTTTTGATTGGCCCAAAACCCTAGTTGGTCTCAGCATGGAGAAGAAGATCCTACAAATCTGCATGCTTCTAATACAAGGCACGTGTAAATCCTAGGCCTTGGAAATAATTAGTTTCACATTTTGTAAATCATAAAAATCAACTATATCCTCCATTAAAAGATGATCACTTTCTTCTCCAATGGATCGAGCTCTGTTAGTTCTGGTAGGGTTATCGATCTTCCTGTTCTGCACTGATATTTTTAACATTTTCACGCCCAAACCTCCCAAAACTACCACTCATTATCCTCTTCTTGATGCCGATGATCCTCACCAAGCAGACCCCCAGCTAGAACAGCTTCTCCAAGAGCCCCTCAAATTCCCCACCCACCAGGTCTGACTATTCATTTCCAATGTTTACATGCATGCGTTACACAAAAACTCTCTGTGTGAGACGTTTGTTCTTTTACACACATAGATATTGTATTGATATCGTTTAAAATGTATTGATAACATATAGAGCGAACGTTTGTTCGATAGTTGGACTATTCATTATATACAGTGATAGATGATCGTTATATGCTGAAATTCTAATTTGTTTGTTCAACTGCAGAAATCTAATGGCTTTGGGGGAGTTGGCATTGGAAGCACCATCAATATTGATTTCTGTACATCTTGTTCTTACAGGTTCCTATACATCATTTTCTATATGACATGTTCCCAATCTCTTTGATTATAATTTTTTTTAAAAATGCTTTTTTTAAGTTATATTAGCTCTCTAAAAACGTGATCATGCTCTTCTCTTTCGTAAAAATATAAGGAGAAATTGCTTTCGGAAAAGTGCATGGCAATTGTTTTGGAGCGTTAATAACAATTCTCAAATTTAATAATGTATTTAAGATCCTTATCCCAGTTCCGAGTTAGATAATCTTATGTTTGGATTCTTAAACCTACATGTATTTACATGTCTGTGGCAGAGGAACTGCAATAACATTGAAAAACATGCTGGTAACATCATTTCCCGGGATCGATGTAATACTGGCAAACCACCACCCTCCCCTTCCAAGACGCCTGCTGAGCAAACTGGTACCGGTTGTTCAAGTAGGAATCATCGGGACTATAATGGCCGGAAAACATGTTTTCTCAAGGCTGGGGATAACGACGCCACCTCCTTGGTACCAGACCCTGCAAGCAAATAGGTTTGGCAGTATGGCAAGCACTTGGCTTTTGGGAAACTTCATCCAATCCTTCCTTCAAAGCACAGGAGCGTTTGAAGTGTATTGTAATGGTGAATTGGTATAACTCTACCCTATTCTTCTTGATCGAGTTATATGTCGAAATTTCTCCATTTCTGTCTCTGCTAGCTGCTCATCGTTTGAATCTTGTCGGACGTAGGTCTTCTCGAAGCTGAAGGAGCAGAGGTTCCCCAGTGAAACTGAGTTGAGGGATCTCGTCGGAAAGAAGCTTGGAGGAGGGGTCTGGCCTTAGTGCCTTTCGGTAGGTGACGTTTTTACCTCTACATGATCGACATAACCCGATTTTTGGTTTGATATGGACACAAGCTTGCCGTGCTGTTTGTACGCTTTCCATAAGATATTAACATGTATGAATTGCCACACTAAAGAATAACCACAGTTGTTCATAACATTTTCTTTTTCTTCTTAATATTTTGGTACAATTATGAATGCAAAGAAAAATGCGTCCGGCGATGTTTCTCAAGCCTAGCAAGATAAATTACTTTGTATCAAGGATTACAAGGACATGAGGTGGCAATTCTATGCATTGTAGAACAAGAACGACCTCTTGGATATCTTCCTGATCACACTGCAGGTGGTTTTCTTAACTGAATGACATCGCCTTTCGGGTATTGCAGAAGGATTCTCACACCAGGACAGGGATATTCAAATCTAATGTCATAAATCTGAACCTTTTTTTTTTTTTTTTCAAATTTGCCACCATTTTCGAGCTTCCAATGTCTTCACAAGCTCGTTTGCCAGTGATGCGAAGTCTTCAGCCCCATTCTGCAGATCTTCAGTACGCCGGCTGATTTTCTGATAAAAGTTTAATTCGGGGATTAGACAGAGAAAAGGAAACTAGTAAGTTTAAGAGTCATTTTAACATTTGCTAGTTGAAGGTGTGCAACCTAGAAGAACAAACTTAGATTAGAAATGAAATATTGTTCATGTAATTGGCTTGGATCATGATAGCAATCTTTTATCAATAAACATATGAACTCGTTTTTGGACCCACAAAAAGAAACGCAAAGAAATCAAGAAAAAAATAGTTTGTGAGGTTTCTGCTAAAATTAGTTTACAAGCAAATCGTATATCCGAAGGTAATAGTTTGTAAACCCGCCCAATGACTTTTTTCACAACATTCTCCACTTAACAAAAGATAAAATGAGCAGCAGTAAGCTCCTTCAATTGACTGAATCCCGTGAAACCATTTCATAGAAGTTCATTGATATCTTCTTTTTATAAAGCAAATCGAGAAAACTCTTTTGTGAACTAACATAGTAGATATCCTACCTCAAGTTTTTCTTGCCTTTCCATGAGCTTATTTCGCGCTTGAGAAGCCGCAGATGAAGCACCCTGAAATGAGTTCTTACCAGATCAGAGAAGACAATTAATTTATAGAGTAAGTTCTCTATCACCCAAACTATCATCATCATGTGAATATACCTCAGCCTTTCTATATTTAGCTCTAATTTCTTCGGCCGTTCTAACTCTGGGCTTTGTATCGCCAGTACCACCTTCAAATAACTTTTCCCTTTCTGATTCCCCTTCTACAGCACAACAATTAAATGACACTGTTATTGCATTTACTATTTTTTTACAGAAAAATAAAAACACAGGTCGAATATTATAAAAGGTTTACCTCTCTTTTTATCTTTGACATCATGTGGTGACGAAGTAGATGCGACATATAGAGGTTCATCAATTTCAATGTCATCTATATTAAAATCATGAACTGAGTTAACAATCAACAAGGAGAGATGCAGAAAGGACGAATACGTGGAGATAGGATAGCACAAAACCTATATTAAGCTCCACAACTTCTTGATGGTCTACAGGCGGGGATGGTTCTGACAGTTGGGACTTTGAAAATGTGCCCTCTAAACGATCGAAAGTTGATTTAAGAACTGCTGCAGGATCTCCACTCTGGACCATTTTTCCTCCCTTAAAGCCCTTGACAATACCACCTAAAATCCCAGATGCAGTACCCTGTTTCCAAATGACACCTTATAAGTGAAAAATAATCCCTTCTACGCCAAAACTTAAACCTAATGCAACTACATTTTGGTTTTCCACAAACCTGTTTTTTCTTCTGATTCACAGAGACACTGAGTGCAGCGTCTGCAGCAGCTGCAACAACTGTATCATGGAGACAGGGCAAAGACTCTGGAATCCTACAAACAGATCAAAAAAATCTGAAATATCTAACAGAAAGTTCATGACCAATCCGTAATGCTCAACTATCATATTCCCCTCACAGCGCTCTAGGTAAATGAATATAAAAAGTACCTGAAATCATTCTCAATAGCTAACATAGAGATGAATGCCGATTCATACCCATTTGCCTATAAAAATTCACAGCACAGAGTCTTACATTAATGAATTAACATGCTATCTTTCATGAGATTAAGTGCAAATCCAACATTCTTGATAACTTCAAGGCAACAATACCAGCGTAATATGTGCATCATCGGAACTCATTGTTTTATCCATGTTTGCCTTGCAATTCCACCTTAGAATTGACAGCAAGGAGCTTTCTTTCACCAATTCTAAATCAGGAATAGATCTGCCCACGAACAAGTAAGAACAACCCATCAGACAATCAATAATGCACATATATCTACAGCGTCAATCAATAAACAAGCAGTTGTGGTAGCTTGATATGCTATCATTACATTTTCAATCCACACTAGAAACATTGATAGATTGGGGAAAAGAATGGAAGAGAAACTTTACCTGATCTCAATTTCTCCAGTCTGAAACAGCAAAGCCAATCCTGAAACCTTTTCAACTTTCTTAAAAGTTGCAGTCCAAATGCAAGGTCTTGTATGTTTCTTTTTTCGGATGGGTTTATTGTTTCCCTAACAAGAGGAAACTGTCTCAGCATACTTTCGGAATAAATGAAATAGCAAAAAAAAAAGTAAAGAAGGCAAGAGGCACCTGAATCACAGATTTTGTCGAGTACAAGTGCAGTGAATCCACACAACAAAGCAAAATGAATGAATTCAACAATCTCTCTTCAGAGTATGTATTTTCTGAATAGTTGTCATCGTCAGTGTCAGGTGAATTTATAACAACTGAAAGACTTCCTGGCACAGGGTCATTTTTGGTTGAATCCTTGGCGGCCTCTGTAGGCGGGTTATCATTGGATACTTTAGAGGCAGATAATCTGCCATCTGGAGTACCAGAAAGAAATGCTTAGAACTCTCTAACTATTAAGTGAAAAAGAAAACTATAAGTATTTTATATCCGCTAGATGATAATCTGTACTTGCCTATAACATACATTGAAATTGCAATTGACTCCTTTTTCAAGTGCCATGGCTGAGGGATGATCAGGTTACCGGTGTTTCCATCAATTACATGTATATTTGCATCCTTGGTTAAGATGAATATTACTTCTTCTACAGGGCTAACTGTCGACTTTGTTCCAGAGACCTTTGGGCTCTTCAGGAGGCCTTGAGAATTTGTAAGTTCTTTCCAAATCATTGAAATGACTGGGGAGCTAGAGAAAGATGCATCTTTGATATAGAACAATACAGAAAAGGAACTTGCGTCCAGCACTGCGACCTGAAATGGATGCATTAAATTGATAAGTCCTTCTAAATATAACAGCTTAAAATTATGGGTCAATATTCAACTATTGAAAACAATGAACAACAACAAACAATGAACACGTGTTATAAATTCAGATATAGAAAAGTAATACTTACATGACCACACTCAAATCCCACAGCAAGTTTACCTCCATGCTTTACAAACTGAAGCGCTTGAACTGGGGAATTTGTAAGACTAAATACAGCTCTGCATCGCGGTCCTTTTGCTTGAGGCGATTCGTGAACTGATAAAAAAGTTTATAAAATTGTTAGCTTCATAAACAAATGTTCCAGAAAAACTACTCACAATAAATTCAACAGTACGATCTGATGATTTTGCATCTGATGGACTGTATAGGGAAGAAAGACAGCAACCTTTTTATAAAGTCAAGGAGATTGACACTTGAAAAACCTACCTTCATATTTGGTTTCTGTGACAAAGATGAACTTTACCCCATCTGAACAGCCTTTCACGTTATAAATTCGAACCTATACACACTAGCATAAAGACGATCAGCACAGTAAAAGTTAGAAGTGAAAGATGGTATCCAAAAGAGAAAGATATCTGACCAGACCACATTCATTGCCAACAGCCAGATTTAAAGTGAAGGCGCAGAAATCCAGTCGTGTTACGGGAGCACTTGAACCAGCAACTTCTATACCTTGCACCTGCCAGTTGTAAGGTATCACGCGATGCACGTCTCCCTTACAAAGACAAAGTTTATTAGGTTTAAGTGATGAACTCTAACCTCACTTTCTACAAGGCAGATACAAGATAAGAGTGGATATGTGGCATTCCATATCCGAACAGATCCATCTGAATATCCTGCTAGGTACAGTCTCTCAATACCATTATTCTCAGAAATAGACAGTTGACTGGGAACACCCCCAGTCAAGGGCCATTTTGTACCAGCTGATTGGGTTTGTGCTGAGCCAAGGTTCCCAACTGAGGACATCTACGATATACGAAAAGTAAATAATTATGTGATGTAGAAACAATAAAGCGAAGATGTCAAAGCGACTCATATATAAAATAAACATCCAATACCTCCAATATAGAAACGGGAAAAATATAAGATATATCCACTCATACATGGATGAAGTACAATACCTCTGACATAGCTTTCAATAAGTTCTCCCCAGTGGGTACCCTAATAAGTTTGGCATCGGTCATTGTTGGATTAGTTGTAGGTATCACCACCGGAAAGTCCAAAGCAGATACAGATGGATTCCTTTCTTTCTGGGACATTAAGGCAGAGAGGGTAGCATAATCATAAAGATGCAGTTGCCCAGGGTTGGTTAATACAAAAACATCAGCTTTGTGATTACCCCCAGTTGTCCCAGAACTTTGTAACAAAATCATGTCTGCAAAAGAGCCAGTAAGGGTAAGGTCTGTACGACCAACACATCTTAAATTCCCCATTCCAGGTGACCATTCAAGAGTTAAAACCTGAAACATGGAGAATTTTGTCAGCTCCTATCTCGTGGCAGTAAATAAACAAGAAAAACACCAATTCAATTGTTGTACAAAAAGTGCATTGTTTCTAGCCATGTTATACTGTTTTCAAAAAGGGAATCCTTTTATCTCTTTAAAATGAAGTCCTTACTATTTCTGAGCATGTTATACTGTTTTCAAAAAGTGATCTAATTTTGATATATATTAACCA